TATTGTGACACCAGTCTTGGGTAGAGGATTATATTGACTATTTCGCATATTGATTCAGTTTCTATAATTAAGACTTCCGCTACTATTTAATTTCATTGTTTTTATATTGTTGCCATGAATTGTTAAAAGGGATTATGTCGTAAACGGAAAGTAATTAATAATTTGGCTTGCCTAGCTTCTACGAGTAGGCGCCATCACGACTCCCGAGGGTGGGAAATCCGGGTCGTGACAAGTTGGTATCAGAGTACTAGGTTACATAGGTCTCACAACTCACGAACAAACTTAGTAGAGTGTGAGGGATCGGTACGGAGACGTCTGTATTTATCCCCCAGAGGCTACAGAGTTAGGAAACTTCACATTTTTTCCTCCTTGTCGTGTGGTGCTGCTTCTCGAACACCGATTGAGTTTCTGCTCTGTTCTTTCGCAGATGGCGAGAATCCGCGCTTCTTCATCTACCACTCAGCAGTCCGAGTCCCCTGTAGCAGCCCGAGTGGCGGAGCCTCAGGTTGATTTGGAGGAGGAGGTTCTAGCCCCAGCAGTCCCGGTGGGCCCAGCTCAAGTCCCAGAGGGGTTCATTGCCACCCCAGTTCTTCAGGACGCTCTAGTCCGATTGGTATGCTTCGTGGAGAGTGTCATTCGAGCGGGTTTGCTTCCATTAGCACCAGCCACTCCTCAGGCTGGAGGAGGGGTTCAGACTCCTGCTACACGTACTCCGGAGCAGGTAGCTTCCCAGGTTCAGGTTCTAGTGGTTCAGCCAGTCGTGGCAGGTCAGCTGGGTATAGTTGCTCAGACCGGGAGTGAGATCACTTTTCGGGAGGCGGCCAATGTGGGCCGTAGAGTTGAGATGGTTCTGCCACAGGGAGGTGGTCATGGGTCGGATAAGAGGCCTCGTCATGCAGGCAGATTCAGTGGTACCTCGTCATGAGGTAGAGGTTCTTATGGTAGAGGCCATCCTCCTAGGCCCTTTCAGTCAGCTCTCCAGGTCACTCATGGTACTTCAGGTGGCCATTCACAAGGTGGCCATTCAGGTCGACAGGGTCAGTCTCAGTTTCCTCAGCTTCAGCATTCGTGTGGTGAGCATGGTCACCTCAGGAGGGCTTGCCCGAGGTTGAGGGGTGCTCAGCTGCAGCAGTCGAGGTCTTGCCACGCTTGTGGTGACCCGAGGCACATTGTCAGATTTTGCCCTCGAGCTTCGAGCAGCTTTCAGCATCAGAGTTCTCATACTAGGATTCAGGCACCAGAAGTTCCACAGCCTGCTCAGCCAGCTAGAGGCGGTGGCAGGGGTGTTAGAGGTGGAGGTAGAGGTCATAGAGGTGGAGCTCAGGCCGCCGGAGGTAAAGGCCAGCCAGCAGCCAGGCCAGAGGCTGAGTCTTCAGATGCAGACATTACAGGTACTATTCTGGTTTGTGATAGAAATGCTTCAGTGCTATTTGACCCTGGCTCTATGTATTCGTATGTGTCATCCTATTTTGCCCCGTATTTGATCATGCCTAGTGATGCGTTGGGTATTCCTGTTTATGTGTCTACGCCGGAGGGTGATTCCATCGTGGTCGATCGAGTCCATCGCTCTTGTGTTGTGGTGATTGGGGGTCTGGAGACTCGTGTAGATCTGTTGCTTTTAGATATGGTCGACTTTGATATCATATTGGGGATGGACTGGTTATCACCCTATCACGCTATCTTGGACTGCCATGCCAAGACCGTGACCTTAGCTTTACCGGGTATGCCTCGTTTAGAGTGAAGAGGGACTCCGGGTCATTCTAGCCGCAGTGTCATATCGTATATGAAGGCCCGGCGTATGGTCGAGAAGGGGTGTTTGGCGTATTTAGCTTATGTTCGGGACTCCATGCTAAGGTTCCCTCTATTAATTCTGTGCCCGTTGTTTTTTTGAGTTCCCTGATGTTTTCCCTTCAGACCTGCCGGGTATGCCACCCGACAGGGATATTAATTTCTGCATTGATCTGGTTCCGAGCACTCAGCCCATTTCTATTCCACCATATCGTATGGCCCCACCGGAGTTGAAGGAGTTAAAACAGCAGTTGCAGGATTTGCTTGAGAAGGGTTTCATTAGACCAAGTGTGTCTCCTTGGGGTGCGCCGGTGTTATTTGTCAAGAAGAAGGATGGGTCAATGAGAATGTGTATTGATTACCGGCAATTGAACAAAGTAATGATCAAGAATAAGTATCCACTGTCGATGATTGATGATTTGTTCGACCAGCTTCAGGGTGGCAGGGTATTTTCCAAGATTGACTTGCGATTTGGCTACCATCAGTTGAGGATTAGGGCATCCGATGTCCCTAAGACAGCTTTCCGCACTCGGTATGGGCATTATGAGTTCTTGGTTATGTCATTCGAGTTGACAAATGCCCCAGCAGCTTTCATGGACTTGATGAACCGAGTGTTCAGGCCTTATTTGGATTCATTCGTGATAGTGTTCATTGACGATATACTGATATACTCTCGCAGCCAGGAGGAGCACGAGCAGCACCTCAAAGTGGTTCTTCAGACTCTGAGGGATAGTCAGTCATATGCCAAGTTCTCCAAATGTGAGTTCTGGCTGAGTTTAGTTGCATTTCTGGGTCATGTTGTATTAGCGGAGGGTATTCAAGTGGACCCAAAGAAGATAGAGGTAGTAAAGAACTGGCCTAGACCAGCATCAGCTACAGAGATTTGGAGTTTCTTGGGGTTGGCAAGCTACTACAGATGGTTCGTGAAGGGATTTTCATCTATTGCAGCCCCGATGACCAGATTGACCCAGAAGGGTGCCCAGTTCAGGGGGTCGAATGAGTGTGAGGCGAGCTTTCAGAAGCTTAAGACAGCTCTGACTACGGCACCGGTGTTGGTTTTGCCCACAGGATCAGGGCCTTATGCAGTCTATTGTGATGCTTCCCGTATTGGGTTTGGTGCAGTGTTGATGCAGGACGGCAAGGTCATTGCCTATGCTTCGAGGCAGTTGACGATTCATGAGAAGAATTATCCAGTGCATGATTTAGAGTTGGCATCCATAGTTCTCGCCTTGAAGATTTGGAGGCATTATTTGTATGGCGTGGCGTATGAGGTGTTCACTGATCATAAGAGCATTCAGTACTTGTTCAAGCAAAAGGAGTTGAATTTGAGGTAGAGGAGGTGGTTGGAGTTGTTGAAAGACTGTGATGTCACCATTTTATATTATCCGGGGAAGGCCAATGTGGTGGCCGATGCTTTGAGTAGGAAGTCAGCCAGTATGGGCAGTCTTGCTTATATTCCGATCAGTCAGAGGCCGCTTTCTTTGGATGTTCAGGCTTTGGCCAATCGATTTATGAGGCTGGATATTTCTGAGCCTAGCCGAGTATTAGTTTGCACGGTCACTCGTTCGTCATTATTGGAGCATATCCGTGATCGGCAGTTTGATGATCCCCATTTGTGTGTCCTTAGAGACACGGTGCAGCGCGGAGGTGCCAGGCATGTTACCTTAGTTAATGATGGAGTTTTGAGATTGCATGGTCGAGTATGTGTTCCTAATGTGGGTGGGCTTCGAGAGTCGATTTTAGAGGAGGCCCATAGTTCCCGGTACTCTATTCATCCGGGCGCCGCGAAGATGTATCAGGATTTGCGGCAGCATTACTGGTGGCATAGAATGAAGAAGGATATCGTGGCATATGTGACTCATTGTTTGAATTGTCAGCAGGTTCAGTACGAGCATCAGAGGCTTGGTGGTTTATTTCAGAGGATTGAGCCTCCCGAGTGGAAGTGGGAGAGGATCACTATGGACTTCGTTACTGGACTTCCGTTGACCCGGAAGAAGTTTGATGCAGTTTGGGTCATTGTTGATAGGCTGACCAAGTCAGCGCATTTCATTCCTGTGGCAGTCTCATATTCATCCGAGAGTTTTGCTGAGATTTATATCCGGGAGATTGTTCGCCTTCATGGTATGACGGCATCTATCATTTCGGATCGGGGTACGCAGTTTACCTTGCGCTTCTGGAGAGCAGTTCAGCGAGAGTTGGGCACACGGGTTGAGTTGAGCGCAACATTCCATCCCCAGACGGACGGACAGTCCGAGCGGACTATTCAGATTTTGGAGGATATGATCCGGGCTTATGTTATTGACTTTGGAGGTTTGTGGGATCAGTTCTTGCCTTTAGCGGAGATTGCCTACAACAACAGCTACCAGTCGAGCATCCAAATTTCTCCTTATGAGGCTTTATATGGTAGGCGGTGTCGGTCTCCGATTGGATGGTTCGAGCCGGGAGAGGCTCGGTTGATAGGTACAGATTTGGTTCAGGAGGCCTTGGACAAGGTCAAGATCATTCAGGATAGGCTTCGTTCAGCTCAGTCTAGGCAAAAGAGCTATGCAGATCGTAAGGTTCGAGATGTAGCTTTCATGGTTGGCGAGCGGGTATTGCTCCGAGTGTCGCCTATGAAAGGCGTGAT